TATATGGATGACATACTTTTGATTGGTTCATCACCCAAATGGATAAACAATATAAAAGCAAAGTTAAAGTGGTAAATTTGACATGAAAGACCTAGGTAAGGTTAAGAGAATTTTTGACATGAAAATTGAAAGAGATGTGTCAAATTCTGCCTTGTTTTTGCATCAGTCTATATATATATATATATATAGACACACACACACACAAAAGGTGTTGAAGAAATTCGATATGAATGATTACAAACCCGTCACATTGCGTCTAGTTAATCACTATGTTTGCATTGAACGTGAATTAGAATACATGAATAGAATTCTGTATTCTAATGTGATTGGTACCATAATGCATTTTATGGTTTGCACTAGATCGAATTTAGATTTTGCTATTAGTACCGTCAGTAGGTACATGTCTAATTCGGGTCCTGGACATTGAGAAGCCTTAAAGTGGCTATTAAAATACTTGAAGGATATTGGTGACATTGGTCTAAAATTTAGTACTAGTAAAGAAGGTGTGAAATTGAAAGGTTTTGTGAATGCTGACTATGCGGGCTAGTAGGAAATCAACTTCCTCTTATGAGTTTACCTTATCTAATTCTTGTGTTAGTTAGAAATCATATTTACAACACATTATTGCACTATCCACAACAGAGTTATAATAAAGTGCTACCATTGAAGCAATTAAAGAGGCTCTATGTCTTAGAGGTCTACTTTATGAACTATGTGTCTTGAATGATTATGTGGTAGTGCATTCTGATAGTCAGTCATCTATACAATTATGCAAGAACCATATTTTTCACGAACGCACTAAACACATTGATATTAGACTATATTTTATTAGAGATATAAGATCTCAAGAGGTGGTAAGATTTGAAAAGGTCCACTCACAATACAACCCTTCAAATATGGGCACGAAAGTGCTACCACTGGTAAAGTTTAAAAGCTACGAGGATCCTCCAAACATAGGTACAAGTAAGTGATTTCCAATTTTATTGGTTTTTTGTTAGAAGTGTCACTAACAGGAGACTTTTTTTCTTTTTGGAGGTCCTTTGACACCAATGTGGAGGTTGTTAAGCAATTTGTTGTCAAACGATCTTCCCGGGCTATGATGTTATTTGGTTTTAATCTTCAGTCGACTTAGCCAAATGGCTGAATGAAATTATAACACCATAATTGAGACGACAAGATCCAAAAGTTAATTGGGCCATTTGAAACAATCTAAATATTTTAGTGTTGCTCATGGCCCAACCCACTTTCTTAGATGGCCAAAAATGAGAGACTTTACTTGGCAGCCAATTTGTCTACTTATTGGGCCTCTACTTGACCCAATTGTTAGCCTAATCCTACTTACCATACTTGGGCCACTTGATTTAATATAGTGGGCCTTTATCTCCCTTTGCAAGAACAATTCGTCCTCTCCTCTCTCTCCGTGACTCTCGGTCATTGCGTTTTCTTCTACACTTCTGCCTCCTTTCAATTTCTACCTCTTGTGGTGGTTATATATGAGATATTGTATACCTTTATGGTCTTCTAAGTGAACTATCTTTTTGGTAACCGAAAGTGGAAGTTTGGTTATTGCCTTGGGTCATTGTGGGGTTATGGTGTTTTGGTTGGAAGAAACTGAGTTTGGGCCAACCTTGGTGATCAATATACACTCTACAAACCACACATTTTTAAATAATATAATATTACACGTAAATTCAAAATTTTTCCTCATTTTTTAATTACACATTCTTCATCAATCTACCATTACAAAATACATTCTTTCAAGATAATATGACTCAAACTCAAACAAATTTCAATTTAATTAAAAGTGAGACACCCTATGACCTTCAAATGTAGATCCAATAGCAACAGATAACAAAAAATAAGAAATTAGTAATAGTTTAAAATCTTAGCAAAACATGCTCTACAAAAAACAATAGCAAGACACAAAAAGAGAAGAAAAAGGTATTAGTTTAAAATCTTTGCCAAACATGCTCTACAAAACAAAGTCAAAGATGTTATGTTAAAAAAGTAAAAATATGCAAACAACATTTTAATTAAAAATGAAAGTATATCACCTTCAATGAACAACCTCAATTCACATCCTAAAAAAAGGGGGGGGGGGGTAAGAACTGATAAATAATTTAAATTGTTCTTAAAAGCATATTGTAAAATTATAAAAGATATTCATTTAAAAATGTCAAACTACATAGTGTGTCGTATTTTAATTAAAAAGTGACACATCATATGACTTTCTAATGGAGAAACAAATATCTAGTAAAATAACACCTATGGCCTCTCGGGACATAATTCAGTGGTGTAAATAATATGAGTGGGGCAATCTCAACCTTGTTGGTAGCCGCAGTGTGACCAGTGTACGGACAAGCTCTTGTTCCTTGGTCTGCTGGAGCATATCCCGCGATTTATTTCTCTCACGATACTCCAAGGACAGGGTGATGAGGCCTTTAAAGTTGGGTTCAACCTTTTTTTAAAAAACATGCTCTATGACTATGTGATATTTTAAAAAGTCAAAACACACCTAACACAATAAAAATGAAAAGGACTTGCTAAAAATAATCCTAAGATATCAATGGCTCCCAATATCTTTTTTTTTTTTTTTTTAAATCACAGGTAGAAATACAAAAAGATCAGTATTAATGTTCTTAAATTAGAAAGTGACTGCATCACCAGTTAACCAAGGATCTCTGAAAAACATTAACCACACTCATAATTGCATACAATTATGTTATGTTGGAGATGAAAATACTCTAAATTAGCTGTCAAAATAATTCTACCCAATATGAACATATTAAAAACAAACGCCCTATACTTGGTTCATGTGTTATATTTCAATGGCTATAGTATTATTCACTTATCCATTACTTATTACTATTTAGTTATAATTAAAACCATTTATAAACACTTCTTAAATATGCAAAGGACTAAAAATCAACAAATTCATTTTACACTAAAAAAAGCCTTAAAATATTTTTTAATTACAAATTCTAAAAAATAATAACAACAATGGAAATTTAAGAACCGAGCTTAACTTGGATTTGTACCATTGCACAGCAAGATTTTTCGTATTTTAAGTTTGAAATTTGACATTTTTCTCACGATTCCTCTCGATCGCTTTAGGTTTACTAATATTACATTGACCTTTTTCAACAATCGATGAAATTATATAGGTAAAAACCAACAAACATTGATAAAAATCAAAAAATTTTAAAAAAATCAGAGCTTGGATAAAGGAGATTAAAATCGCGAAAAGAAATTTATGGTTTCATTTTCTTTGACAAGGACGAAATTTGCCCCGCCAAAGACTTTAATACTAGAGAACGTATTTTTCAAAAAATTAAAAATGAGGACGTATTTTTAAAAATTTTCTGATTGGACGTATAGGTCTAATTTTCCCCAGAAGTCCAGCTAGAACTAGTCAATTCATGGACCTCGTAATAATTGACTCTACTTTTCTTGTAAATGGAGTTAACCATCACAATGGTCAGTCAAGGTCATCGACGTACAAATTCTTCCGGATTGTAGAAACCGCATGAATTATTTTAATAGCAGGGCCCACTTGTGTTAGTGGGCAGTCAAAATGAGTGTGCTGTACTCTCAGCATTATTCAAACTGCATTTGGTTCACTATGCCAATATCGTTAAGGTTTTGAGTAATTATTTGTTTGAGTTTGAGCTAGAGCCCCATTTTTTTTCAGAAATTGTATTTTGAAATAATATTTTTTTAGAGAATGTGTGATTAAAAAATATAATTTTTTTTTCAATTTACATATAAAATTATTTTCTGGAATAATGTTAATTGAAAATAATTTTTGAGGAAATGGGAGGCCAAACATTAGTTAAATATGTCCAGGATTAATAATCACACCAATTTTTAAGATTACACAAGTGATCAGTTGTTTAAAAAAATCTGAAATAATATTAAACGTAAATCTATTTTTTTAATCACGCGTTCTCCAAAAAAGTATTATTCCTCTAATTGTAATGTAGAATAATGGGAGCTAAATGGATGCTAAATCATTCGTGGTGTTATTAAGAGGGTGTATTCAATTGAAACTTTTGAAAATTTTGACGGACTTTCATGAATCTTTTATAAATTTGTATAGAATTAGTGGAAATCTTCAGTAGACTTTTATAGACTTTCATTTTAAAATTTTTATAAACTTTTGTAAAATTTGAAAGACTATTGAAAACTTTTATTTAAAATAGAATTCACCTTGATATGATATAATGGTGTGAAATTTTCACATACGATGTGTTGGTTCCCACAATTCTCCATTTCTTTCTCTTTCCCATATAATAAAGTAAAAGACTTTTTGATATCAATATCCAGTGGTTTTGGAGGTCGAAAGGTGGTTGAAAATGGCTGGCAAGCGGCGAGTGGTGGGGGTGAGTTACGGGAAAAAGGTGAAGTTATTTTGGTGGGTTATTTGCACTTTTTAAAAAGTTTGGACTTATAGTTGCAATTTATTTTTTATTTTTCTTTTCTTTCTTTTTTTTATTTAAATAGGAGGAAAATTGGCCATTTTATGTTAAAAATTTGTGAAAATGACGTTCAACGCAAAGAAATAGAAACGTTTTCCACAATAAACTTAAAACGGTGGTGCTAATGATCTATAAGGGTGTACTTAAGCATGTACACCCCTCTAACATGGGGTGTGGGATCCACCCGAATAAAAAACACTTACTCGGGTGGATCCCACACTTCATATAAGGTGGGTGTACACCCTTAAATACACCTCATTATGTACCACTAGATTAATTCAACTTAAAATACATTGACGTTTTGTATAAATTACCGTGTCATAATTAACCCAATTGCATATGGATGGAACCGTAGAAGAAAATGCGGGACGGTCCCCTAATTCTGCTACAGTTGTGACCAACAATCTTAGCAGAAAGTACAAGAGAATCATGCACTCTGAACATCTCATACCATTCAAAGCACGGAACAGTAACTGGCTTACCAATGTTGACTTGACTGTGTGTCTCTTCCTCTATATGTATGTATTTCCACCTTAGACTTTACCATCAGTCTCTCTCTCTCTCTCTCTCTAAAATGGCTTTTCCTTCCTGCCTCTTCTACACCCTCCTTCTCCTCCTCTCCTTTTCTTTTTCAGTATCGACCAATATCGAAGGTAATTTTTATATATGTATTTTTTTTTCAAAAGGGTTTTATGAATTTCTGAGTGCCCATCTGACAGATTTCTTGTTTTTGAATTTGAATCTCAGGAAATGCTTTGCATAGTTTAAGAACAAGACTTTCTGATCCCAGCAATATTCTTCAGAGTTGGGATCCTACTCTTGTCAATCCTTGTACTTGGTTCCATGTAACATGCGATTCCAACAACAATGTTGTTCGTTTGTAAGATCTTAATCCTATGTTGTTTTTATGAAATCATTTTGCATTTTCCTGTCCATTATTTAATAATAGGACTGTTAATTTCAATTTGTATATAGGGACTTGGGCAATTCTAACATTTCTGGAAGTTTGGGTTCAGAGATTGGTGAACTCAAGCAGCTGCAGTATCTGTATTCTTCTTAACTCCGTTTTATATTTAATGTTTTACCTTTCGGTAATTCTTATGATAATAAGGTAGAAATTTTCCATGGAGTGCAGGGAACTTTACAGTAACAACCTAGGAGGAAAAATCCCCAAGGAGTTAGGGAACTTGAAAAATGTTATTAGCATGGATCTATATGGCAACAAATTTGAAGGAAATATTCCAAAATCTTTTGCCAAATTGAAGTCTCTTAGATTTTTGTGAGTATAAATACTAAATAGATAAAGTCAGCACTCATTGATTCTTGAATTTGGTATTCATTAGCTGTTTACTTGCAGACGATTAAACGATAACAAGCTAACAGGATCGATTCCGAGGGAACTAACCACTCTATCAAACCTTAAAGTTTTGTAAGTTTGAAAAGTGCAGTAGTTGCATACCTCAAAAGTTTTAGTTTCGATTTCTATAGCTTATGTTTGGAGAATTCTATGTTTGCAGTGATGTTTCCAACAATGATCTTTGTGGAACAATACCTGTCGATGGCCCTTTTGGTAGTTTTTCTATGGAAAGGTACTTTCACAGCGAGTTCTGTTGTCATTTGATTATGCTCAAGTTTAACTATTATTTGAGTTGAACTATGTTGTTTCCACCTCATTTATGCATCCTTACATTGATGTGTTTTAAGATTCTGATTTGAGTGGGGATTGAAGTAAAATTTTCATCTTGTACGTCAAAATTTGTGTATAGCACATCGATTTTTATGTTTTTGCCTCCGATGTTAATTTTGATAGTCTATGTAGTGAAGTAAAACATTCTTTTCCCTGAAATGACTAGAAAAAACACGATACCCTTACTGTTATGTTCGACTACACCAGTCTCCACAGTATCACAGATGGACCTAGTTGTCCTTCAAATGTAGAGGCATATTCGGTATTTGATCTTCTTTCTGGCATTCATTTCAGTTTCAAGCACAACAGACTTAATGGACCTGAGCTGAAAGGACTGGTGCCTTATGACTTCGGATGCTAAGTTGGTAAAGAATGGTCTTCCCTCGCTCTTCGCTAGCTTGGCATATGAAACAGAGTAGTAGAATTTTGAATAGTGACTTGATATGTATCTCAGTACTATAAATTGTAACAGGACGAAACTGGATAGCAGCTTGAATTGCTAGACAGGGATGATAATAATGAATTGAAAAACTCAAATCGGTTCTCCTCTAACCTTGAATTTTCACCTCTTCAAACTGATGCAAATTGAAATTTTACCGATTGCATAAGCAATAGTTGAGTGTCGAATTTGACATAAGAGGTTCCCTTTCCAGTAATGCAATAATGTTCTTGATTGAGATCTTGTGCTCTAAACCATTTATTATCTCTGCAATGAATAAAAGTCGAACTATTCATAGACCATCAAAAGAATCAAAAAACGCCTCTACACAATCTGTCAGCATTGTACCTTTTCTTGGTGATTCTTGTTGAATATTACTACTACTGCTACTAGCTTCTTGCTTCTTCCATTCTGATTTGTCCATAAATTTCCATTTCAATGTGATGTCGTCCCAACCTGCAGCTGCCCTGGCTGCTCTATTTGCAGAGCGAAGTGTATCATCCGCAGTTCTTTTCATTTTATTTTCCTAAAAATGCAGAACAAGAAAAAAACAATATATCGACTTATATCTAGCAAAAAGTATGAAATTTCTTTCCTGAGTCATATTCGAAAATACCAGGGAAGGTTCTGCACATTTTATGTCTTTGTTCATGTGAATGTTCGAAGCCTTTTCTCCTCTAGACTGCATTTATAAATATACTTGAAGTGAATTGCTTCCCTATTCTCAGAAAGAACTCAACTCTTCATTGAAATGAATCAAAAAACTGAACAAAAGTTCTTTAGGTTCTTGATTGTTACCTCTTTATCCCGAGTAATCATCTTCTTCCAAAGTTCCTGGTTAGAGATGACGACGCAATGCTGAACTTCTGCTGTGGACAACATTAGGCTTCTTTTCTGTCGAAGATTCAATAAGATTTGATACGAATCAAAGACAAAGAAGCCGATATGATAAAACATAAACAGGAAATTTTAAACACCAACCTTCTTTGACAGCTTAATCAAATTGCTTATTAGTCCATGCAGTCTTACCTTTACACACTGAAGATTTAACATGATAAGAACTCCATTAACAAATCTCTCCTAAAAATAGACTTATACTGAGTAATTTTCTCACCAGTGATAAGCATTGTTCCACATCTTCAGTTCTGCTCTTAATTCCACATCTTGACACTGTCGGAACGACTAAAAAAACAATGAATATTTACGAGAAAAAACTGGTATTTGAAAAAAATTCTCAAGAAGTATGTTTCTAACAGAACTGATGTTCTCCAATTTTCTCTGCAAGGCATTTTTCTGCAGAATTGTCGTTTCTTCTTGTGACAGAGCTCTACTTTGCTCGCCCGACGAAAACATCACCTTCTCTTCTACCTGATAAAGAGAAATCATAAAATTAAAATGTTCAAGCTTTCAAACGTGAAAAATTACGAAGAATATGAACACGCTGTACCTCTACACGGATTCTGGCTATGGCAATTTCGTCATTACTGTCGGTATTTTGTTGAGGTTCATGGCGTGACTTCTGCTTTTTCCTGAAAGAGAGATTGCTGAGTATCTAATAAAAAATTATTTGGTTATGAAGATTTGAGCAAAAAATGGAAGTGTATGAAAACCTAGTAACACATTTTTGATCAAGTTGCCTCTTGGCAGACCTCTCCATAGAATCGAAGAGCCTGCAGCATACATCTAAATGATATTAAATAAAGTGGCACAAAAGAAATTGAAGTACATTTACTCAATTACATATACAGAGGAAAATGTGTTTCTCCCATACAATGGGGAAATAAACAAAATTATAAATTATAAGTTTAAACCCAAGAATCATCACAGAAAGAAAAAGAAGAACTATAATGAAAAATTCTTTCAACCTGCAGTCAAACTTCAAAATGCATATTAAAAATGAGAAAATCGTACAAATCTTAAATAGAATATTGTTACTCCAATTTCCCGGAAAAATCATTTCATTCTGTTCTTGAATACAAGAAAAGGAAACTGCGAAGAAGCATTCAAGATTCAGGTAGTGAGACCACGACGAATATTCTAAAAAGGTGGTGAAAATTTCCGGGTTTTCCGAAAGATCATCATAGCCAAGAAAAAAACAGTGTAATTCATTCTGAAGATTTCGTAAATGCATAATGATGAGAACTGACCGAACCAACCTGATTTTCTTGGAAGAGAATATGGCAGAAACCAATTGTCGCAGTTTCTTTGTTGGCTAAGCTGGCTGTATGGTAGGTTAATTACTCTAGAAATGTTGTGGTTAAGTCGGCTCGTCTCAGTATTTAGTCGAGCAGCGAATTTTTTTGTACGAGTCTCTTTTAATTTAGGCACGTGCGGACTTGTTAAAAATTAAAAATAAAAAGTTGGTTAGTCAAGAGCTCGAGCCTCACCAAGTATGAGTAGAACCACACTTTGATTGAGGGAGCTGACTTACATTGAGCTCACCCCATTTGGCATACCTCATTTAATCTAACCTTTTGAATTCAAGTAGTGCTTAATTAATTTAATGATTTGTTATTTTGACTGTATTTAATAATTAATTATAAATCTCAATCAAACTTCCTTACAAGAAAAAAATAAAAATTAAAACATTCGCAAGTTACTATTAAAGCTTGGAATTAACTCTTCTAAGCATCCATTTATTACTCAAAAATTTCATTGCATTCCATACCATTCGTCCTAAAAATTAATAATTATCTTACATGAATACTCAATAATCTCGACTAGATGTTTTTAAGGTGGTTTAGATCCCCTAATTGAGCTTATCTTTGCTCCATTACCCAAACACACCCTTCTGCGACTAAATTTTGTAAATCGATCCCTGAATTTTGGACATGACAAGTTGATCCCTAAGTTTTCTAGATTCTGCAAATTTGCCTGTGGTAGTTTATCTGTTTTAAGGAAGCCATGTACACACAGGCCTTGAGTTGCATATCTACAATATTTTCAGCGTATAATATATCTTTGCAGTTTTCATTCTCTGTTTGTTTACATTCTTGTTGTATTAAATAAAACTTATATTATTCTATAATTTTAATTTTATAACAGTTTTTGTTGTTGACGGAAATTCGACTAACGCAATCAAAAGAACAAATAAAATAAGCAGAAAATAGAAAACAGTAAATGAAGCGAGGTATGCCAATAAAATAAGCAAATCTCCTTAAGACAGATTTCGCCCCCCAATGAAGTGCAAACGGGATTATGGACGTCTGTCTCCCAAGATACAACGCTCCTTCCAAAGTCGATACTGCACAATACCAACCTTGTCGGCCGAACCAATGAAAGATCGTACTCGAACGAAATAAACACGGAAATATAAGAGAATTTTTAGAGAAGAATATGGAGAGAGAAGAATTTAGAAATCAATTAAATTCGTAATTGATTTTGTGTGTCAAAAACGAATCTGGGGTTCTCTATTTATAGAGATTGAAGTGTCTCATGGAATAGGTGTGTGACATTTCAGGAATTGGTGCACCACTTGGTCTGATTCGTCTTAGCCATTAGATCGCACTATTTTCATGATCTGACGGCCCAAATTGAACAATGAAGTGAAGTGTCCATTCATCATGCCTATTCACCAATTTCTGAACAGTCACAGCCATGCGGATGCCACGCGTAGATCTAACCGCCACACAGGACGAAGGGACGCGACCTACCACTCGTGCGCCACCTAGAATGCCAACTCATCGAGCCTTGTGCTGCCACGTTATCGAACCACGAGTCCATTTCCAAAAACTATAAGGCTCCCCAGCTCCTCGCGACGATGCATACGTGCGAAGTGCCAAGTGCGCCTCTAAAGGGCCCAATGCGTACTTTGCGACGTACGCGTGCCAGGACCGGGACCGGATCCGGGGACCGGTGCTAGTGGTGACTAGCCTTTGGCTAGTTTGCTAGCCTTTGGCTAGCTAAAGTTAGCCAAGTGGTAGGTAACTTATTAAATTATATATTATTCACACAACCCACTATATAAACAAAACTATTTTCTTGTAAACTGTCGATGTGGGATTCCTTTCCATATAAAAAAAAAAAACACTTAAAATGGGCTTATCAACATATGGGCCTATATTGAAGACTTTTCCAATTCACCCAAATTAATTGTAATGGCCCACATCATTAAATATTACATTTAATATTTTAAACCCAAAACAAATTCAATTAATTCCAACAATCCCCCACATGAATGGAAGAAGTCGACTCAAATCAAGGAAGACGGAAGAAGAGTACTATCTGAAAGATAACGTATCAAGATAGGTAGCTTTCGCTTTGAACCTTCTTTAGTAAGAATCTATCGAACTCACTTGGCTAATCAGTGAACGCAACGTTTTGAACTGTCAGCCTTTATTGCAAGCTCAGATAATAGACCAAACACATTATCTCTCATATCAAACTTGGTTCTCTATTGTGTTCATTATTTCGGCCCTGAACTACTTGGGTTCTGCGAGTGCTTTAGAGAATTCGCCTAAGTAAATTCTCATAGAACCGGCCAAGTTCGCACTAACATAGGTGATGCACTATAAAGAGTACCCTATTGTAATTACTTGTACCATTTATAGTCATCATTAAAAGCAAAGCTTATCCTTAATACACTTCATAGTCAGCACTTTTTGCATCATAGAAATGGGAAGGAGTTAAACTCCTAAGTGCTTCTTATCGAGTCATTCATAATTAATTTTCCTATTGAACCTAGTCCATGGGATCTCCAGTTGCCAGGTTAGGTTTCCACTAAGATGACTCATTGAGTTTTAGGCTTTAAACCCATTTCCCTCGATGCGCAGTCTATATGCTCTCTAGATAACCCTTTAATGAACGGATCCGCTAGGTTTTCTTTTGACTTAACAAAATCAATTGATATTATTCCATTTGAGAGCAACTGCCGAACGATGTTATGCCTGCGACGTATATGTCTCGACTTACCGTTATACACAAAATTTTCAGCCCTAGCTATTGTGGCCTGGTTATCACAATGAATACAAATAGCCGGTACAGGCTTTGGCCATATAAGAATATCTTCTATGAAATGTCTTAACCATTCTGTTTCTTCTCCTGCTTTGTCTAAAGCAATAAACTCAGATTTCATAGTAGATCGAGCTATACACGTTTGCTTAGAAGATTTCTATGATATAGCGCCACCACCGAGAGTAAATACATAGCCACTGGTAGACTTTGACTCGTCTGTATCTGATATCCAATTGGCATCACTATATCCTTCAATTACTGGAGGATATTTTCCATAATGTAATGAATACTCTCTTGTCCGTTTCAAGTATCCCAAAACTCTAAGTAATGCATCCCAATGTTGATTACTTGGGTTACTTGTGTAATGACTCAGCTTACTTACCGCATAAGCTATATCAGGTCTAGTACAATTCATCAGGTACATTAAACTACCAATAATTGGGAATATTCTAACTGTTGTTTCCCATTTCCACTATTCTTGTGAAGAACTATACGTGGAAGAAATGGGTTACTAGTCTCTTTAATATTATGACTCTTAAACCTCTCAATTATTTTATCAACATAATAAGTTTGAGATAAGACTATTCCATTTGATGTTCTAGATATCTTTATTCCTAGAATCACGTCTGCTTCACCCATATCTTTCATGTCAAAGTTATTGGTAAGTATATTCTTTGTTCTATTGATGATTTCTATATTAGTCCCTAATATAAACATGTCATCAACATACAAACATACGAGTATGTATGCCTTTTCGAATTTTTTCGAATATACGCATTTGTCACATCCATTTATGATGAATCCATTCCTAATCATGACGCTGTCAAACTTTTCGTGCCATTGATTAGGAGCTTGTTTCAAACCGTATAAGGACTTAACTAGTTTGCAAACTTTGTTTTCTTGTCCTTTCACTATGAAACCTTCTGGCTGTTCTATATATACTTCTTCGTTTAAATCACCATTCAGGAATGCAGTCTTAACATCCATTTGATGTATTTGTAAGTTGTACAAGGCTGCGATAGCAATTAAAACTCGAATGGAAGTAATTCTTGTTACTGGAGAATATGTGTCAAAGAAATCAATTCCTTCTTTTTGACGATATCCTTTTGCAACCAATCGAGCCTTGTATTTGTCTATTGAACCATCAAATCTTAACTTTCTTTTAAAGGTCCATTTGCATCCTATTGGTTTAGTTCCCTTAGGAAGATCAACTAATTGCCAAGTATTATTATTCATAATAAATTCAATTTCACTATTTATAGCTTCCTTCCAGAATACGGATTCTGGACTAGTCACAACTTCTTTAAATGTTTGGGGCTCTTTCTCAATTACGAAAGAAATAAAATCTGGACCAAAGGATTTAGCGACCTTTGCTCTTTTACTCCTTCTTGATTCAGGTTCTATATTGTTTTCAATAGCATTATCTTGTGTTCTCTTTTGAGTATTCTCACGAATATCTCTTTTATTAGGGAACACATTTTCAAAGAATTCAGCATCTCGAGATTCAAAAATTGTATTGACATGAATGTCACTTATATCAGATTTATGTACAAGAAATCTGTACGCACTACTATTTATTGCATATCCGATAAAAATGCAATCAATAGTTTTAGGACCTAACTTAATCCTTTTGGGAGGTGGAATAGCCACTTTAGCTAGGCACCCCTACACTTTTAAGTATTTATAGGAAGGCATTCTACCTTTTCATAACTGATAAGGTATCGAACCAGTTTTCTTATGGGGAACTCTATTTAGAATAAAGTTAGCAGTTAGCACTGCTTCCCCCCACAAGTTTTGTGGTAATCCAGAACTTATAAGCATAGCATTAACCATATCTTTTAGAGTTCTATTTTTCCTCTCAGCAATCCCATGTTGCTGCAGAGTATACGGGGCTGTTGTTTGGTGAATAATACCAAACTTAGCACATAATTCATCAAACATAGACGAATCATATTCACCACCTCTATCGGATCTTAATACCTTAATTGTTTTTCCAAGTTGATTTTCAACTTCGTTTTTGTAAGTAACAAATGCATTCAATGCTTCGTTTTTGCTACTCAATAAATAAACTTGGCAATATCTACCGCGATCATCTATAAATGTGATAAAATATTTTTTACCACCTCGAGTTTGAACAAATTTTAGATCACAAATATCGCCGTGTATTAAACACAACGGTTCACTACTCCTTTCAATTGTGTTAAAAGGTTTTTTTAGCAAATTTTGCTTCAACACAAATTTCACATTTATGTTTATCTTCAGAGTCAAGTTTAGGTATAAGACCTAAACCTACAAG